TGTATTACTCTTCATTGTTTAATCTGTAAATAATATGTGAATAAATAATTGGAAAACAACAAAATATATTTAAAACCCCAGTTTTAAGAAAAATATAAATGTGTTGGTAATATACCATTAGTGTATTTCAAGAGATGACAGGTCATGATATCCCGTAACGCTGTATAACGCTAAATCACGTGGCATCTCAATTGTACAGCGATATACTAGAGGGATATCATGAAATGTAATCTCTTGAAATACACTCGTGTACTGTATTTCCCTATGGGACACACATTTATATTTTCCTTAAAACTGAATTTTTAAATATATTTCATGTATTGTATTGCACAGTAGTATACAGTATTATTTATACAGCTTTTAATTACAATTAATATTGAATTCAAATGTGTGTTTAATCAGCCGATGATTATGATTATGACGAGGAAATTAATGAAGAATACGTTTCCGTTGATTCCGCTTCAGATGACTCCGATTCTAGTAAAGAATCCGCTTCTAAGCCACTGCCCGACCCCTCCGATCCCATTGACACCATTAAGTCAGTGACTGTTAGAAAATATTTCCCCGAAACTTGGATTTGGAGTTCAATTATATCCCAGTATTTATTATTTAATTAATGTTTTATCAAAATTATGTACACTATATTGCATGAGGTTTTCTTGAACTAAATTCAATTACATTAACCTTCGGCTTCACTAATGTTTGCTTCATTCATATGAAATAACTGTTTAAATATAACTATACTAATAGTATTATAACTAAATATTGAAGCAATTTAAACCAATTTAAGATTATGAGTATGGTGAGATGCAAATGGATGCCATGCCAATGGCTGCTTTTGCTGCGGGACCGGCCATGAGTAAAGTTGCCGTGAATTTTGCTGATTCTGCCGGAATGGCAGCTCCAGTGCCCGAGCAGTCCCTCCGCACCGATAGTTCAGAATCGGTTAAAATTAGGAAACATTTTCCCGAAACCTGGATTTGGAATTCAATCATTTCCGAGTATTACTATGTTTTACAATTCACTTATAATTTATTGTTGATATTAATTGAAGCACTCAATCGTATGACTAAAATGACCGCATAGAATGTGTATTGAAATTATTTGTCTGATTGTATTTATTAGAGTAATTATTGCAAACTATTGAATTGTAATTTATAACTAAAAATTTAAGAATTTATAAACGGGTCTCTTTTACTCATTTAATAATTGAATTGTAATTGTATCAAAATTTTACACCACTTTAAATCAATGAAAGGTCATTATGGTGGAATGATGCCCATGGCATTTGCAATGCGTGGGCCGGGGTTTGGAGGCGGGGCAGCCTTTGCAATGGCCCCCAACTCACCCGCAATGCCGATGGCAAAGATGGCATATGATATGCCGGTGTCTTCTATTAGCACCGATACCTCAAAAACGGTGACAATTAGGAAGAACTTTCCCGAAACTTGGATTTGGAGTTCAAGTGTTTCCCAGTATTTATAAAATTATTCTTAACAATAACTAAAGCACTCAATATTGTGACTGAATCTTAAGATTATTTTAATAATAGAAAGTTTATCAAATGATACTGCCTAGTACACATTCATCTCGTTTTGTGGGAATTATTATTTATTAAATATCAAATTATATATGAATATAATTATTATAGTTTTATTGTAATTTTGCATTAATTGAACCCATTTGAAGGGGATTACGGTATTGTAATGCCATTTGCCGCCCGACGCCGTGACTTTGGGAAAAACTTTGCATTTGAAGAGACGTTGCAAACGGTTTCGGGAAGAAAACAATTTCGGGTGCCTTTAGTCACTACCGATGCCTCCAAATCGGTTACAATTAGGAAACACTTTCCTGAAACATGGATTTGGAGTTCAATTATAACCGAGTATTTTGTGTTTTAGATACAATATTGCTTTACTATTTATGCATTCGTTAAACGAATTTTGTTTGCATGACTAGAACTGATGTTTTCTATACTAACTTTTAATTACTAATCAATTTGTCATCACATAATTCTCTTTCATCTCGATGTGAATGGTTTTCTATGAATATAACAATTGTGTTTGCAAAGCATGGTGTTATAGAGTTGTATAAATGGCACAAAGTTTTAATTTCTTCGATAAAATAACAATCAATTTATATTAAATACAATTACATTGAATCGGTGTTAAGGATCTTATTCTGGACGAACTCGAAACCGCATTCGCCTCCTGGGGGCCAAAGTACTCAAAAAAGCGGGCAAAAAGAGGGCCAGAAAAGGGGCCGACAAAATGCTTAAAGCGGAAAGTTTTACCGCAAATGATATGCCAGAAAAAGAGACAGTTATTAAACTTGATGATAATATTATGACAATTAGAAAATATTTTCCCGAGACATGGATTTGGAGATCAATTATTTCCCAGTATTTATTTATTTCCAAATTATTGTTTATAATATAACAAAGCACTCAATGGTGTGACTGATAATTGATTGACTGCTATTATGTGTTGAATTTATAATTTTGCAACTTTGCAATTAAAAATCTTGTTGATTTAACTTAGGTTTTGAGTTTATAAAATATTAATAAGCAATGGAATCTTGCTAAATGCAAATATGCTTTACCAATATGTTATATGTTATTATATATTCTATAGGAAGAATCTATGCGTTTAGTAAAACCGCGGGTGGGTTTGGATCGGCTAACAGTCTTAGAAGAACTGCTAATAAACATAACTCTAATAACAATAATATCGAAATTATTGTAAAAGTAAAACCAAACAATAATATTAATATTAGAAAATATTTTCCCGAAACGTGGTTATGGCAATCAACACTTGTCGGGTATTAAATACTGTATATACAATTATGTGTATTTCCTATTCTCTCCCTCCCTCGCCATATTCTTGCAATGCACTATATTTTTCTCCCATTATTATTATATTCATTAAAATTAAATTTAAGTTGATTGAGATATTAATGTTTTACAATGAGCTTATAATGAGAATGGTTAAATGAATTTAGTTTGATGAGTAGAATATGTATGCACTAATATATGGTTGTTGTTTAGGGCACATTCGTTATCACTCTAGATTAATGTTTAATGGTATGGCCGGTAATCGCAATGAACAACAATTTATGACTACTCCTCTGCCCTTTGTTTACGCGACTGAAGTGCCAAACAAAACACCGGATTCTAAACCCAGCGATAGTAGTGTTAAAGTTAGGAAACATTTTCCCGAAACTTGGATCTGGAGCTCAATTATAACGCAGTATTATTTAATTTATAACATTAAGCACTCAATCGGATGACTGAATTATAAATACAATATGTACAAAATTGGGTTAATTATAAACAAACTAACATTTTGTATAATAGTATATATGAAAAACAACCTTGCGGGTGGGGGCGGTCCGAGTCCCCAGATGATATCCCGGGCATTCAGCGTTGAATCTGTCCACAGTATGCGCGCAATATCTACTTCCAAGCGTTCAGTTTCTCAAACAAAGTCTATAAACAATATAAAAGTTAGAAAACATTTTCCCGAAACTTGGATTTGGAGCTCAATTATATCCAAGTATTATTTAATTTATAATAAAGCACTCAATCGTATGACTGAATTATAGATACAATATGTATTAAAATTGAGTTAATTATAAACAAACTAACATTTCGTATAATAGTGTATATGAGAGGGATGGGTCGTATTGTGGGCGGAGCCCGTCCCGGGATGATGATGGCCCGGGCATTCAGCGCTGAATCTGTCAACAGTATGCGCTCAATGTCTACTTCCAAGCGATCAGTTTCCCAAACAAAGCCTAAAAACAATATAAAAGTTAGAAAACATTTTCCCGAAACATGGCTTTGGTTCACATCAATAGCCGGGTATTTTTCATTATTTTTTGGGTCTCTTTGAAAGTTACCGTTAATACCAATAACTTATTAAAGAGAAATCTTCAGTAATTTGTGTGACTTTATAAACCATTAAAGCACTCAATCGTATGACTGAAACTCGGGAATAGTGTACTAAAAAACTAAATAATCATATACTTAATGATAGGTTTACTTAAACCAAATGAAATATGCTAAATTTGAATTGGTATAATAATAATATTTAGAGCATCGCTACAAAGGCGGGCATATTATAGGCGGGGCATTGTCTATGGCCGGACCCCCGATGATGATGGTTAGGTCATTCAGCGCTGATTCAATGCCTGTCCAGCAATCAATTTCCCGATCAAAGCCTAATAACAATATAAAAGTTAGGAAACATTTTCCCGAAACATGGCTATGGCTCTCATCAATAGCCGGGTATTTTTCTCGTTATTTAAATTTAAGTTAATACTACTATATCTCAACCGATTAGATATTCTTAAAATATTTAATAAGAATCCAATTGTATGATTGCATATTACCATGCTGTTAAAATATAGAAGTTCTTATTTGTTAGTAAATAATTATATATTATGTGTTGGTTTATTCTATTTAATCATCAAACGATTTATGAGCATAATACATTTTTTTCATTGCACAATTTAGGAATTTCAATATTCACATCAACTGCAGTATTAAATTGATATTATTATGCAATTGCGTTAATATACAACTCATAACTCATTTCATTAATTTAACTAATTCATTTAATTAACATAGATTTGTAACTCCAAAATAAACATGGTTATGGGTTTCAATAATAGTCCGCTCTTAACTCCAATTATTACCCGTCCTCTCTCTCTCTCTCTCTCTCTCTTTCTCTCTCTCTCTCTCAATTAACAGTCGGTCCCATAATATCTCCGACACCGGAAACGCTGACTCGTCGAGAGCCCGGCACTACGTTTGTCGGCATTTCAATCGACACATTCTCTTCCCTCTCTTAATCTCACATTTAATTGTAATCCTTGTGTTTGCATGAAATCTATGTGAAATATTTCGGTCACTCTATTGTGTGCTTTTTTGTCCAAAATTTCATTTCTATTCAATTGATTAATATATTTAAAACAACTTCAGGAGTAATGGAAGTGCAATGATCTCCAGTGTAATCCCTGATACCATCACCTCATGGTTTATCAGTGCGTTTGCTGTGGACCAGGAGACAGGTCTGGGTATCGCACCCACTAATGCTAAGGTAAACCATTGGTAAAACAATTATATATGGAATAGTATTGCAAATATTGAATACATGTTTATTACAGGTGACTGTCTTTCGGCCATTTTTCATCAAACTATCGCTGCCTTACTCTATAATAAGGGGCGAATCGGTGGCACTTCAGGCCATTGTTTTCAATTATATGAGTAAAGCGATTGACGCCGAGATAGTGATGGATAACAAGGAATTGCAATTTGAGTTCACAAACGCTGGCAATGATGTGAACGTCAAGAGCGGCTCAAACGCTACCGAAATGCGAAAATCGATATCAATTCCGGCCAACGATGGAGTTTCGGTCACTTTTATGATTACACCCAAAACTGTTGGCTATATTGCCATTAAAATGACGGCCACAACACAGACCGCCGGCGACGGAGTGGAAGATAAACTGCTGGTCAAACCCGAGGGTCAGACACAGTATTTCAATAAAGCACTTCTCGTGGATCTCAAACCCAACGCAAACATTACCGGAGATAATGTGTTGAAGAAGAATGTGTCGATTGAAATGCCGACAAACGTAGTGCCGGGCTCTCGACGAGTCAGCGTTTCCGGTGTCGGAGATATTATGGGACCGACTGTTAATAATTTGGATCAATTGCTTCGTATGCCCTTTGGATGTGGCGAACAGAATATGCTGTAAGTAATTATATATTACAATATACTGTATTTAATATGTTATATATGTATTGAATTTGTTTTTTCAGGAATTTTGTGCCGAATATCGTTGTATTGGATTACTTGAAACAAAGCAATCGTTTGACGCCAGCCATCAAATCAAAGGCCACTTTAAACATATGCAGTGGTTATCAAAGGGAACTGACGTATAGGCGCGACGACGGCTCGTTCAGCGCGTTTGGCAAAACCGATAGCAGTGGCAGCACTTGGTTGACGGCGTTTGTGCTCAAGTCGTTCCTACAGGCGAGAGGTGTGGTCGACGTCGACCAGTCGGTGATTGACAGTGCCGTCGAGTGGCTCTTCAATCGGCAGCAATCGGACGGCAGTTTCCACGAACCGGGAGTTGTGTTGCATAAGGATATGCAGGGCGGCAGCACTGGCGGGAAGGCTGTGCTCACAGCCTATGTCCTCATCGCTATACTCAACGACCCGAAGGCCAATACCACGAGACGCGACGGTATCGCCAAAGCGGAGGCTTATATCAGGAGTGAATTGAACGCCACGAAGAGTCCGTACGATCTGTCAATCATAGCCAATGCCTTGCATTTGGCTAACAGTGGGTTCAGTGGTCTAGCGTTTGACAAATTGAAGAGTTTGGCCAAAACAAGCGGCGATTATATGTGGTGGGAGACGGAGGCCAACCAGGAGTCCAAAGACAAGGTGTCCGCAAACGAGTGCTTTCATTTGCCCAACTCTTATACTGTGGAGACCACGGCCTACGGCCTGTTGACACTCGTGGCCCGGAATGATATCCAGTCAGCGGTTCCGGTCCTAAGATGGCTCATCTCTAAGCAAAACTCAAACGGAGGGTTCGCCTCCACTCAGGACACTGTGATAGGCATTCAGGCGTTGGGATCGTTAGCCCAGAGACTAACCAACACTAATCTATCACTCAATGTTAACTTCAATTATATGGTTGCCGACAAAAAAGAGACCAAAGATATGAAGATTGACAACAATAACGCCATTGTATTGCAGAGAATACAACTCCCGATTCAAACAACTAGTGTTGAAGTGGAGGCCCGAGGGTTGGGCTCAGCTATAGTACAGGTGTCCTATCAGTACAATCTGGCCGTTGCCTCAGAATCGCCCGCCTTTTCACTCAAACCAGTTGTTGACAAGACTTCGACTGAAACTTATCTCAAACTTTCCGTTTGCACTCAGTTTAGTGTTCAAACACATTACACTATATTCTGTGCTATAATTACTAATCATATTCTTTATGTAAATTCAGTTATTTGAATGGATTGGCCACTAATATGGCGGTCATGGATGTGGAACTGCCCTCCGGTTATGTGGCAGATGTTGAGTCACTTCCTAAAGACAATCAAATCAAGAGAATCGATACAACAAAAGGCGATACAAATGTGATCGTATATTTTGATAAAGTGTGTAATCATTTTGCAAATCATAATCAATATAGTAATTGTGTAATGAATTTGTGTGTTGCAGATAACCAAAGATGAGATCTGTCTGACAATACCGGCTCATAGAGTGCATAGAGTGGCCGACAATAAAGCGGTTCCCATAACTGTTTACGACTATTATAATAGACAACAAACTTGTCGTGTATTATACGAACCAATGGTTGTTAGCATTGATAATATGGTTTCAAATCTTAAAAATTAATAATTTATATGAAATTTGTATTTCTATGTTGAAGTAAAAAGTATAAATAATTTTTACTTTTTAAAAAGTGTTATTTTCTTAAACAATAAAAATATGAAAATACTTTTAACAAGTGTTTGAAACGTTTCACACTTTAGTCAATCGTAATGTTTTTGGGACTCTTCGGAAGCGTTAAACACCGACCGGTTGTACCCATACATCCGTATGTCTACTAAACCAATGGTCACGTTATGCTTCCGAAGTGTCCGCAACTCTACTCTCACCCCAACCGCAGCCAACAGTCAGGCACCGACTGGTCATGGATTCGTCCGTTAGACCAATAGTCAAGTCACTGATGGTCTGAGTCTACACTTCAACCCTAACCCCAACCGCAGCCACAGTCAGGCACCGACTGGTCATGGATTCGTCCGTTAGACCAATAGTCAAGTCACTGATGGTCTGTGTCTACACATCACTCGCACCCAACCCTCACCGCAGCCAACAGTCAGGCACCGACTGGTCATGGATTCGTCCGTTAGACCAATAGTCAAGTCACTGTTGGTCTGTGTCTACACATCACTGCACCCAACCTTCAGCGCAGCCAACAGTCAGGCACCGACTGGTCATGGATTCATCCGTTAGACCAATAGTCAAGTCACTGGTGGTCGCAGTCATCGGTTCGGAACACATCTCTGTCCAGTCATTGGTCTCCCGATTGACTCTTCACTAACGATGCAATCGATGACAATTCAGATGTCAGACAAAAACTCACTTCTCTTCGCGTTTCCGACTCTTCTATTGAAACCATATTTTGGGTTAAAGTTTGACAAAAACTTTACAAACTTTTCAATGGAATCGTCGAATGGATTGCAAACCATCACTACATTCGAGTCGAGCAGTGAAGCGATCATTATATTAATTCAATCATTTTATGTTTGCTTTAAATAAAAAGTTTTGACAAAATGTAAACTTTTTTCTATTTATTTCTCAGTTGTTATCATCTGTTTATATATCTGTTAATCTCTTTATTGGATCTATAATTACAAAATGATTACAAAAATGACAAAACAAACATAAAATAATCATTTGATTCGCTGCGAGCGTAGAGTAGATGTGAGTACAGGTGCTGAGAGAGCGCCGACTTCTGCGGCCATTCAGTACATCATTGAAATGACTTTCTCGGACTCCACTCTATGGAAGTCAATCAAGTGTTGTCTCAAATGATTGAGTGTCGCGAAGACATGGGAACAGAGACTGCAATGAATGGTGTGATTGTAGGTCTGGTGATGGCTATCAGTGGTCATCCGACCAGACATCAGATGAGGACAGCATTAGTGTCGTCACCACTACTAACACACCCATTATGTCGATGAATGCCAAGAATGACAACACAACTGTTGAGTCCATACATGTATACAACAAATTTGCATTTCAATTGTTTTCTGCTTTCATTTAATTAAATAATTTATTTGTTAATTATTTACTGAATATTGAATAGTTTTTGTTAACATTGATTTTGTTGTCTCTTTAGTGGGTTATTATGGATAACGACGGCACGGATTTTCCTACTCTTGTCTAAAGTGTTGACAATTTGATGGATAATTGTTTTGATTTACAAAACACATGATATGTGCCATAATATGAATAAATCTAGCGACGAATTTAATAGGAAATTAAATACTCATTTCATACTTAATATAAAATAATAATAAAAATATCGCCAACCAAAGTGTTGAAACACTTTTATATTGAAACATTAATTTGTGAATAAATAATATCAGAATTTTTATATTAATTTTTTTAATTATATACTAAACTAATGAGAAAATTTGTAATCATTTAATTATTACAATTTTTATAAAAGTGTTGTGAAATGTCACACAATGTTTAGTTTAATTAAAGAGTTAATTAGAAATGTAACATGAATTCAATAATATTTGGAAATCAGTTTGAAGTACTTCTCGCCCGCATTGGCGGCCATTAGACTCTCGCGAAAACTTTTGAACTCTTTCTGAAGAGAATTATTAGTGACTTCAGTGTTGAAGGCATTCGTGGCCTCCGATTCAGTCAACGCAATGAAAGACAAAACTCTCGGAATCATCATCGGGGGTCCGGCCATAGACAATGCCCCGCCTATAATATGCCCGCCTTTGTAGCGATGCTCTAAATATTATTATTATACCAATTCAAATTTAGCATATTTCATTTGGTTTAAGTAAACCTAACATTAAGTATATGATTATTTAGTATTTTAGTACACTATTCCCGAGTTTCAGTCATACGATTGAGTGCTTTAATGGTTTATAAAGTCACACAAATTACTAAAGATTTATCTTTAATACCCGTAAGTTATTGGTATTAACGGTAACTTTCAAAGAGACCCAAAAAATATTGAAAAATACCCGGCTATTGATGTGAACCAAAGCCATGTTTCTGGAAAATGTTTCCTAACTTTTATATTGTTTTTAGACTTTGTTTGGGAAACTGATCGCTTGGAAGTAGACATTGTACGCATACTCGGGACAGATTCAGCGCTGAATGCCCGGGCCATCATCATCCCGGGACCGGCTCCGCCCACAATCCGACCCATTTTTCTCATATACACTATTATACAAAATGTTAGTTTGTTTATAATTAACCCAATTTTAGTACATATTGTATTTCTAATTCAGTCATCCGATTGAGTGCTTAATGTTATAAATTAAATAATACTGAGATATAATTGAGCTCCAGATCCAAGTTTCGGGAAAATGTTTTCTAACTCTAACACTACTATCGCTGGGTTTAGAATCCGGTGTTTTGTTTGGCACTTCTGTCGCGTAAACAAAGGACTGAGGAGTAGTCATAAATTGTTGTTCATTGCCACTACCGGCCAAACGATTAAACATGAATCTATTAGTGTGATACCGAATGTGCCCTAAACAACAACCATATATTAATGCATGCATACATCATTGCGTATTCTACTCATCAACTAAATTCATTTAACCATTCTCATTATAAGCTCATTGTAAAACATTAATATCTCAATCAATTTAAATTTAATTTTAATGAATATAATAATAATAGAAGAAAATATTGTGCATTATAAGGATATGGCGAGGGAGGGGGAGAATAAGAAATACACATAATTGTATATATTTAATACCCGACAAGTGTTGAGCGCCATAACCACGTTTCGGGGAAATATTTCCTAATATTAATATTATTGTTTGGTTTTACTTTTACAATAATTTCAATATTATTGTGATTAGAGTTATGTTTATTAGCAGTTCTTCTAAGACTGTTAGCCGATCCAAACCCACCCGCGGTTTTACTAAACGCATAGACTCTTCCTATAGAATATATAATAACATATTGGTAAAGCATATTTGCATTTAGCAAGATTTCAATGCTTATTAATATTTTATAAACTCAAAACCTAATTAAAATCAACAAGATTTTTAATTGCAAAGTTGCAAAGTTATAACTTCAACACATAATAGCAGTTTATCAATCAATTATCAGTCACACCATTGAGTGCTTTTTTATATTATAAACATTAATTTGGAAACAAATAAATACTGGGAAATAATTGATCTCCAAATCCATGTCTCGGGAAAATATTTTCTAATTGTCATAATATTATCATTAAGTTTAATAATTTCCTCTTTCACTGTCATATCATTTGCGGCAAAACTTTCCGCTTTAAGCATTTTGTCGGCCCCTTTTCTGGCCCTCATTTTGCCCGCTTTTTTGAGCACTTTGGCCCCCAGGAGGCGAATGCGGTGTCGAGTCCGTCCATAATAGGGTCCTTAACACCGATTCAATGTGATTGTATTTAAAATAAGAAATTAATTAAGAAATTAAAACTTTGTGGGATTTATACAACTCTATAACACCATGTTTTGCAAACACAATTGTTATATTCACAGAAAAGTATTCACATCGAGATGAGAGAGTATTATGTGATGACAAAGTGATTACTAATTAAAAGTTAGTATAGAAATAAAATTATTCACGTTCACTCACGATCACGGCCCGTGAACGTGAGTGAGCGTGAATCACGTGAAACATGATTCACTTTACCGACACTACCCTAAACAACAACCATATATTAATGCATGCATACATCATTGCGTATTCTACTCATCAACTAAATTCATTTAACCATTCTCATTATAAGCTCATTGTAAAACATTAATATCTCAATCAAATTAAATTAAATTTCAATGAATATAATAATAATAATGGGAGAAAAATATAGTGCATTACAAAGATATGGCGATGGAGGGAGAGAATAAGAAATACACATAATTCTGTATATTTAATACCCGACAAGTGTTGAGCGCCATAACCACGTTTCGGGAAAGTATTTCCTAATATTAATATTATAGTTTGGTTTTACTTTTACAATAATTTCAATATTATTGTAATTAGAGTTATGTTTATTAACAGTTCTTCTAAGACTGTTAGCCGATCCAAACCCACCCGCGGTTTTGCTAAACGCATAGACTCTTCCTATGGAATATATAATAACATATTGGTAAAGCATATTCGCATTTAGCAAGATTTCATTGCTTATTAATATTTTATAAACTCATAACCTAAGTTAAATCAACAAGATGTTTAATTGCAAAGTTGCAAAGTTATAACTTCAACACATAATAGCAGTTTATCAATCAATTATCAGTCACACCATTGAGTGCTTTGTTATATTATAAACATTAATTTGGAAACAAATAAATACTGGGAAATAATTGATCTCCAAATCCATGTCTCGGGAAAATATTTTCTAATTGTCATAATATTATCATTAAGTTTAATAATTTCCTCTTTTACTGGCATATCATTTGCTGCAAAACTTTCCGCTTTAAGCATTTTGTCGGCCCCCTTTCTGGCCCTCTTTTTGCCCGCTTTTTTGAGCACTTTGGCCCCCAGGAGGCGAATGCGGCCTCGAGTCCGTCCAGAATAAGGTCCTTAACACCGATTCAATGTAATTGATTGTTATTTTATCAAAGAAATTAAAACTTTGTGCCATTTATACAACTCTATAACACCATGTTTTGCAAACACAATTGTTATATTCACAGAAAAGTATTCACATCGAGATGAGAGAGTATTATGTGATGACAAAGTGATTACTAATTAAAAGTTAGTATAGAAAACATCGAGTTTTAGTCATGCAAATGAGCGCATAAATAGTAAAGCATTAGTTGTATCTAAAAATACAAAATACTCGGTTATAATTGAACTCCAAATCCATGTCTCGGGAAAGTGTTTCCTAATTGTAACCGATTTGGAGGCATCGGCGGTGACTAAAGGCACCCGAAATTGTTTTCTTCCCGAAACCGACTGTTTCACTGCAAATGCAAAGTTCTCCCCAAAGTCACGGCGTCTGACGGCAAATGGCATTACAATACCGTAATCCCCTTTAAATGGGTTCAATTAATGCAAAATTATGATAAAACTATAATCATTATACAGTATTCATAAATAATTTGCTATTTAATAAATAATAATTTCCGCAAAAAAGAGATGAATTTGTTGTTATATTTGATACACTTTTTATCATTAAAATAATCTTAAGATTCAGTCACAATATTGAGTGCTTTAGTTAAGAATAATTTGATAAATACTGAGAAACAATTGAACTCCAAATCCAAGTTTCGGGAAAGTTTTTCCTAATTGTCACCGTTTTTGAGGTATCGGTGCTAATAGAGGACACCGGCATATCATATGCCATCTTTGCCATTGGCATTGCGGGTGAGTTGGGGGCCATTGCAAAGGCTGCCCCGCCTCCAAACCCCTGCCCACGCATTGCAAATGCCATGGGCATCATTCCACCATAATGACCTTTCATTGATTTAAAGTGGTGTAAAATTTTGATAAAATTACAATTCAATTATTTAATAAGTAAATGAGACCCGTTTATCAATTCTTAAATTTTTAGTTATAAATTACAATTCAATAGTTTGCTTATTAATGAGATTATTTATGATAGTCTGTTTATTAAAGTTATGGGTATGATACGCCAGTAAAATCAGTAAGCTAACTCACGAAGTTAATTATCGTTGTTATTTAGTATTCACTTAACATTTTGTATATAATACTCGGAAACGATTGAATTCCAGATCCAGGTTTCGGGAAAATGTTTCCTAATTTTAACCGATTCTGAATTATCGGTGCGAAGGGACTGCTCGGGCACTGGAGCTGCCATTTCGGCAGAATCAGCAAAATTCACGGCAACTTTATTCATGGCGGGCGCCCCAGCAAAAGCAGCCATTGGCATGGCATCCATTTGCATCTCACCATACTCATAATCTTAAATTGGTTTAAATTGCTTCAATACTTAGTTATAATACTATTAGTATAGTTATATTTAAACAGTTATTTTATATGAATGAAGCAAACATTAGTGAAGCCGACGGTTAATGTAATTGAATTTAGTTCAAGAAAACCTCATGCAATAAAGTGTCAATAAATGTGATAAAATATTAATTGAATAATAAATACTGGGATATAATTGAACTCCAAATCCAAGTTTCGGGGAAATGTTTTCTAACAGTAACTGACTTAATGGTGTCAATGGGATCGTAGGGGTCGGGCAGTGGCTTAGAAGCGGATTCTTTACTAGAATCGGAGTCATCTGAAGCGGAATCAACGGAAACGTATTCTTCATTCATTTCCTCGTCATAATCATCGGCTGATTAAACACACATTATATTGAACATAAATTGTAATTAAAAGCTGTATAAATAATACTGTATACTACTGTGCAATACAGTACATGAAATATAATTACCAATGTAATCGTTCATAATTCACACTAATCTGTGACTAAATAACCTGTGAATAAATAATGTGAAAACAACAAAATATATTTAAAAACCCAACTATAATTACTACTAACATATTTATATTTTCTTAAAACTGGGGTTTTAAATATATTTTTGCTGTTTTCCAATTATTTATTCAAAGATTAAACAATTAAGGGTAAAACAGTATTACCCTTAATTATTTAATAATTAATATGTAGGTTCAGTTATACTATTGAGTGCTTAAGTTGTCACTAAACTATCAGAAAATAAATTGAAAATATAAATACTGGGAGACAATTGAGCTCCAAATCCAAGTTTCGGGAAAAAGTTTTCTAATTATAACCGAATTTGATTCAACACTGCTTTGACTGCTATCTAAAGACACTGTCATTGCCTCCATTTGTGGAGGGGGTGGCAGTGCAACAGCCCTGTTAGCCAGTTGGGCCCCACCACTACCACCATCATCATCCATTCCAAGTGCTTCCTCTTCAGCATATTCATAATCAGCTCATTTAACACACAATTCATTTAAAAATCATTATCAAAATAATACTTATGAAACAACCAATAATTTCAATCTATATCTAAAATTAATACAAAATAAAACAATTTTAAATGAAATGTTTAAAACTCACTAATTTGCTGCTTCTTAACATACTCTGGTAACCTGTCGTGTTGTTGTGGCCTTAGGAGTTTCTAGAGTCGCCACCAGCTGCTAGGGCCGGTGGTTATGGGCATTAAGGGCGATAGCCGGCTGAAGAACCGGCACAGCATCCAGATCAGTTCGTTCATCACATCCTCGCGACTGATGTCGTAACCGGATTTCAGCAGAAGTACGCTCTGATCGACACCCAGTATACCTACAAAAGCGTTGGGCCGAGTGGTGACCCGAACGCCAANGCCGACTTCTTGGCCGTGTCGTAGGTCTTCAGTTCGTTCATCACATCCTCGCGACTGATGTCGTAACCGGATTTCAGCAGAAGTACGCTCTGATCGACACCCAGTATACCTACAAAAGCGTTGGGCCGAGTGTTGACCCGAACGCCAACCATCGCTCCCGGTTTGGTCTCATGAATATCAGTATCGACTGTGACGGACGTCCGAAGCACTCCCTCCACATCAAAGTTGAGAGCGTCGGCCACCACTTCCTGATTGTCTTGTCTCACATAATAGCACAAAATCCTCGCCGACGGCGCCATTTGGTGGACAGTCGCGACAGTCAACTCATACCCGGCCTTAATATTAGTGGGAATGTCCAAACTCTTAGCCCACGCTATGTCTCCCCTTCCCATCACTTCGCACACCAATCGTCCGATAGGTTCGGTCGCATTCACTATGAATTTCACGTCCTGTCCGACAGTTATGTCGGTTGTGTTGGAACGGATCACTTGGATGTAGTTCCCGGACGGGGACTCCGCCTTCTGGATACTGTCCATATGGTAAGTGTGTCCCATATATTCGGCCCTCACCTGCAAAGACTCTGCATCTTTGGACGGAAATATGTCTACAGTAATGAGTCCATTGGTTGGCGACAACAGTAATGGACTGTCTTTCCATTCCTCTTCATTCCATGAATAGCCGTATTTGAGTTTGAGTTTTGGTCCGTTTTCGGCCACAGGTTTGCCGTCTTGTGTGACCACTTTGACGAGAACCGTGTATTTCAATCCCGGTTTGTATGTCTTCGACGTCTTTATCAGCTCTACCTTCACATCCCTGTCGTATATCTTCATAGTATTGGATCTGTTGTACTGCTTTCCGGTCAACTTTTCCTTCACTTGTGCCGAGAATTCAATTTCAAGACCAGAGTCGCCGATGTGTTGATTGAGTCCCAAATCGTCCAACAAATTGACGGGCAGTGTAGCGGTTCCGTCGATCGTAGTCTTTGTCCGGTATTTACCTGAAGTCGGATACAGAATAAGACATTAATGTATTGATACATAAGTGTAAATATTTTCAATCAATACTCGGGTTGTAATGATTTTTGGTCTGAACGGTAAGAACGAGGTCTCCCTTAACAGCCTTTCCGTAGGTGTAAATCGCTTTAACAGTTGCGACCACTTCTGACCGATTTCTGGTCACATAAGTGGGCAGCACTACCTCCACGTCAAACGTGGGCAACACATACTCGGCGACAGTGAATGTCTTCGTTGTCTTGTGTCCCAACGCCTCCACAACGATAGTCCAGTCGCCCAACACTGGCTGATCCGACAGTTGCAGCTCTTCAGAGATGACACCGTTTTTCGGATACAATTTTGTCCATTGGATGATACGATTCCCGTTTCCGTCCTATCAATTCATATCGTTATTAAATATATTCAATAATTAAATTATTTCCAAACCAAAAATGATAAGTACCTTAATATGTATATCAATAGAAATATTGTTTTTGGGAATCAGCGATGGGTTGACCACAACGGCTCTGAACTGTACTTTCTGTCCGGGTTTATACATAGCTTTGTCTGTCTGTATGAATACCGACACACTTTTGGCCTCATATGTAAGCGTCACTTCATTTATAAACCCCTCGGCTGTCGTCTCACGAGTTTTGGGTTTAACTGTAATGGGATGTGGGATATGCTTCTGCCGTCTAAAGCCGCCGTAATGGTGGTTATGTTGTTCCGGGTTCTCGTAGACTGTGGTAAAGTTGGCGCCCTTTCCCTTCACCTGCAACCTATAGGTGCCTTCGGGCCAATCGCCGATCGCTAGGGTTAGCATTTTGGACTCAGCCTTACTGAAAGCAACGGCACCTGTGCTAGCACTGTGTGCCGGCCCGAGAACAGTGGCATTCACTTCAATGGGTGCCGATATGTCATATAGTGAGACACTGATGTGGTAATCGGCGTTTGTCCGCAACGACTTCGGGGCCACCACTGTATACATGGGACACTGTGTGCCGGCCCGAGAACAGTGGCATTCACTTCAATGGGTGCCGATATATCATATAATGAAACACTGATGTGGTAATCGGCGTTTGTCCGCAACGACTTCGGGGCCACCACTGTATACATGGGTTTACCGCCATTTGCTCTTATATTCAATAATATTTAGTAAGTTTTAAAATTAATTAAATATTTAATTAATAAATATTAATACTAACAGATGTGTTGTTGAGATGATTGCCAATAATGTCAGACATTGAATGGATAATTGGAAATAATATTTCATTGCATTAAAACTCATATTTTTAATACAAAATAGTATTTCAAACCAATTCTTATAACTAACAGATGTGTTGTTGAGATGATTGCCAATAATGTCAGACATTGAATGGATAATTGGAAATAATATTTCATTGCATTGAAACCCATATTTTTAATACAAAATAGTATTTCAAACCAATTCTTATTAAAAAATACTTTCACTGAATAGAGTTATGCTTACAATGAAAGCAATTCTCTATCTATTTATAGTTTATATAACTTTACAAACTTATAACTGATGAACAAAAGTGTTGTCTTATTTTAAATATTAAATTTCTTATTAATTTGAGATAACTATTTGAAAATAAGATATTTTTCTCACGAAATATGATAATAAAAATCACTGGGTCATTCACGTTACTAATTCACAAAAAATATGACTAAATTCATGGAAAATTCATTTACAAATAATCTCAAATAAACTGATGTTTTGTTTAATTATTTCAAAAAGTTTCACAACATTTGAAACGTTAGACTCCTGTCTGACATTTCACAGAAACACCAGTTTTCGACTTAAATTATATTTCAAGGTTTTGCAGGAAATATGATATTAAATGGAAATATAAGTCAAGATTTTTAAAACATAATTTCAAAAAACTATATTTAAAGTCTAAATACTTGAAAACATTTAAACAATTTCAAAGATTTTGCCGACACTAGAGGTAATAGTTGTGTGAATTGAATGCATTGATTGATTGCCTGATGAGTACACAATCAATGCAAAACAGTTGAGTACACACAATATTTAAATACAATTGTAATTAATTAAAATTTGTATTACATAAAAAATATAAATTTAGTATATAATCGCAAATTATTAATTAATTTTAATAAATATTTACAATAAAAATCAAAATATAGAAATGAAAATTATAATCGAAATAGGAATTTTAGTAATTTGTAAACATTTCTTTATTTATAAAATTAACCCCAATTTGTAATAATAAGTAAAAACCAACTCAAATGAACTCAAAAAACCGGTTAATCACAAGATGTCCACCGAAAAGAAGAAACTGAACGAAAGGCTTCCAATAGGTCTAGTTATGACCCGAATATTCCTATATTGTTGTGTACATAGAAAATAAATATTACTGATAATAGCATAATATAATACAATAAATTATGCATTTTTAAAATACAGGAAAAATGGCAAATATTTTATTTTTAATTTTTAAAAAATATACTCAATTTTTTATATAACAATAAAATATTGGTAACAAAAGTGTTTGAATCGTTGAACACTTTAGTGAATCGTAATGTCTTTGGGACTCTTCGGAAGCGTTAAACACCGACCGGTTGTACCCATACATCCGTATGTCTACTAAACCAATCATTTCAATCTACTGTATATCTAAAATTAATGCAAAATAAAACAATTTTAAATGAAATAATAAATATTTACAATAAAAATCAAAATATAGAAATGAAAATTATAATCGAAATAGGAATTTTAGTAATTTGTAAACATTTCTTTATTTATAAAATTAACCCCAATTTGTAATAATAAGTAAAAACCAACTCAAATGAACTCAAAAAACCGGTTAATCACAAGATGTCCACCGAAAAGAAGAAACTGAACGAAACGCTTCCAATAGGTCTGGTTATGACCCGAATATTCCTATATTGTTGTGTAAATAGAAAATAACAATTACTGATAATAATAAAATATAATAAAATAAATTATGCATTTTTAAAATACAAGGAAAATAGGAAATATTTTATTTTTAATTTTCAAAAATTTAAACTCAATTTTTTATATAACAATAAACTATTGATAACAAAAGTGTTTGAATCGTTGGACACTTTAGTCAATCGTAATGTCTTCGAGACCTTTGGAAGTGTTAAACACCGACCGGTTGTACCCATACATCCGTATGTCTATTAAACCAATGGTCACGTTATGCTTCCGGAGGGTCGGCACCTCTACTCTCACCCCAACCCTCACCGCAGCCCCAGTCAGGCACCGACTGGTCATGGATTCATCCGTTAGACCAATAGTCAAGTCACTGGTGGTCTGTGTCTACACATCAACCCTAACCCCAACCGCAGCCCCAGTCAGGCACCGACTGGTCATGGATTCATCCGTTAGACCAATAGTCAAGTCACTGGTGGTCTGTGTCTACACATCACTCTCACCCCAACCTCACCGCAGCCACAGTCAGGCACCGACTGGTCATGGATTCGTTCGTTAGACCAATAGTCAAGTCACTGGTGGTCGGAGTCATCGGTTCGGAACACATCTCTGTTCAGCGATTGGTCTCCCGATTGACTCTTCACTAAACCGATGCAATCGATGGCAAATCAGATGTCGGACTAAAACTAACTTCTTTTCGCGTTTCCGACTCTTCTATTGAAAGCCGTATTTTGGGCTAAAGTTTGGCAAAAACTTCACAAACCTTTCAATGGAATCGACGAATGGATTGCAAACCAACACTAAATACGAGTAAAGCATTGAAGCGAACATTACGTCAATTCAATCATTATATGTTTGCTTTCAATAAAAAGTTTTGACAAAATATAAATTTTTTTATATTTATTTCTCAATGAATCGATGGATTGAAAGACAAATGCAATCCATTAGTTGTTATCATCTGTTTATATATGATATACTTATTTGATCCACATTTTGGACATCATTTTATGCACACTTCTCGCCATATCTTCAGATATGTTTGGTTTCGGCAAACATTCAAACATTCAATGATTTAATTAATTGTAAACTTCTTTCTCGAAAACAATAAAGTGTTTGAAAACATAAATATCAATACATATAATACATGTAATCATTTTGCAAATTAATACTCAATAGAATAATTGTGTAATGGATTTGTGTTTACAGATAACCAACGATGATATCTGTCTGACAATACGGCCCATAGAGTGCATAGAGTGGCCGACAATAAAGCGGTTCCCATAACTCTTTACGACTATTATAATAGACAACAAACGGCTCATGTCTTATACGAACCAATGGTTGTTAGCATTGATAATAAGGATTCAAATCATCTTAAAAATGAATAATTTGTATGAAATTTGTATTTCTATGTTGTAATAAAAAGTATAAATAATTTTTACTTTTAAAAATTGTTATTTTCTTAAACAATAAAAACATGAAAATGTATTTCACAAGTGTTTGAATCGTTGGACACTTTAGTCAATCGTAATGTCTTCGAGACCTTTGGAAGTGTTAAACACCGACCGGTTGTACCCATACATCCGTATGTCTACTAAACCAATGGTCACGTTATGCTTCCGAAGGGTCGGCACCTCTACTCTCACCCCAACCCTCACCGCAGCCCCAGTCAGGCACCGACTGGTCATGGATTCGTCCGTTAGACCAATAGTCAAGTCACTGGTGGTCTGTGTCTACACATCAACCCTAACCCCAACCGCAGCCACAGTCAGGCACCGACTGGTCATGGATTCGTCCGTTAGACCAATAGTCAAGTCACTGGTGGTCGGAGTCATCGATAGGATGGCCACGTCTTCGGGACTCTTCGGAAGCGTTAAACACCGACCGGTTGTACCCATACATCCGTATGTCTACTAAACCAATGGTCACGTTATGCTTCCGAAGGGTCGGCACCTCTACTCTCACCCCAACCCTCACCGCAGCCCCAGTCAGGCACCGA